GTTATACAGTGCATAGGAGTCAGCTCCTAAAGCATAGAGAATAGGGAAAAAAGGTGGACCAGGAATAACCAGTGTTGGCCATCACATGATGGCAGGAAGTGGCTCCTCTTCTGTGGCCTTCTCTTTGCCAAGCTAATGCATCCCTAATTCCATTCTGGATCTTCAAGCTTCTCCAGCAAGCTGGCTGGGGAATTGGATATGGGTGGTCTCTCAGGCCTAGTGTCAGGAGTTAGTGTTCCCATCCCACAAGGTCCCAAAGTCAAACATGGTGGGAGCAGCACCAGACCCAAGGCTGTGAAGTGTCGGCCCGTGTCCTGACCAAAAGGCCAAGTGTCCCACTCGTGTGCATAGTTGAGGGCTGTGTTCCCAGAACAAGATATACGCCATCCCTTCTGTCTTCATTGTCTAAAGAGAGCAGTGGCAGGACATCTAAGCCAGTTTCCATTCTCCTGCTAAGACCACCCTAACGTCTGTCCCTGTCTGGAGACGTGTTCTCAAGACCCTCAGGGAAGGAGGCACCACAGCTTGCTCCATGAAGATTTACTGAGCACGCTTTGCCCCGGCACTGCCTTAGGGCAATAAGGATACAACGCCTTCCCTCAGGGGTTCAAGGTCGAGTCTCAGAGACTGGCAGCAGCAGGTGCTATGGGACCTGGAGCAGGTGCAGGGCACAGGAGGGCGGGCTTTATGAGGCTCAGATGGGAGTTGCAGGGGCTCTGAGACAAAATGTATAGAGGGCAAAAGGGAAAACAAGAAGGAAGTTGACCTTCATACATACCTTGGCCAGTGCCTCAGTTTTCCCTTCTCTGAAATGGGAGAATAATGGCTGTTCTCAGGAGGAGGTTGAGATCATATGCGTAGAGTTCTGTGGAATTTGGAGATCTGTAATCCACAAGAAGAAAGTCTTTGACTCCAAGGAAGGAAAACAGACAGCAGAAGCAGGATTTGAAGGGAGCAAAGGTCCAGGAATGGGATGAACAAGGCCCCAAGGGCTGTTTTGGCAGAGGGGCGCCATGCCTGGAGCTGAGGTTTAGAAAAACTTTCTAGGGAGATGGTGAGGATGGGTTTTAGTGGGGTTAAATATAGGCAGAGAGACCAGGGAAAAAGCCACTGATGGGCCTCGGGCCCGAGAGGCCACAGGCTTGTACTTTACCCTCTGCTGTGCCTGGAACTTCTGTGCGCCTCAGGGTCTTCCCTTGAGCCAGCCTAAAAGCGCCTTGAGGCTGGGGGCAATGTCTTTCTCCTCCTCACCAGCCCCCAGCCTCCTAGGACTCCTCAAGTATAACAAGCTCTCATTACGCTCTTGTAGTGAAACACAAATTACTCTGGATTATCCAAGGCCAATTTTAGCCTCAAATCACTGTCCTCATACTACCTGCGACAGTTTGAGGCCACCACATTCCAGCCACTAAGGCAGCGGGCACTCGGGACCACAACCTGATTTCATATTAACTTGCAGGGACTAGAACTAGGAAGGGTAATTCTGCTATTTTTGGAGAACCACACACTGTGCTCTAACTTCAGATACAAAAGGGCCTTTATATTCTACTTACCATTGTTCCTGCTCTTTAGCATGATCATGAAAAGCCAGGCATACATAGTAATAATAACAGCCAACGTTTAGTGAGACTTATGTGCCAGGCAGTGTTCTAAGTGTCAGATTTAACAGTTCACTAAATCCTCTCCATTCTGTGCTGCAGCCTCTCTTTTCCACATGAGGAAGCTGAGGCTCAGAGAATTGCAGCTTGCCCAGCATCACACAGCTTGTAAGTGGCGGAGCAGGGATTTGAACCAAGATAGCCCAGCCACTGAGCCCACACTGTAAACCTCCATGGCACTCACCTCTCAAGCCCTGTGAAAAGCCCTTCCAGGGAGAGGCTTGTAGAGTACCAGAGGGGTGCAGAGAGAAGAGATGAGAATTTGCAAGGAGTGATGTCAGAGGGAGGCCAGAAGAGGAAATTTTTTAGCAAGTCGTGCAGTGGAGACTGTGGCTCAGGAATGAGGAACAAGTTTCCAAGGGTAAGAAACAGATCTGACAGTGGGAATCAGAGAATCTGTGTTGGGGATCTCTCCTGGGCTGACTTCCCAGGGTCTCTTATTCCTTTCTTCTAAGTTCAGGCTTAGCATCCACCAGATGCAGCCTCTTGGCCACCCCCACCCCAATGTGTCCCCGGGACCGCAGCTCCTCAGGGACCCTGGCACCAGGATGGAATATCCACCATGCCAGACTCCCCACCAATTCCTCTCCCCTGCCTTAAAAGCTCAGCTCCCCCAATCAAACCATTTCTCTGCCTTGCCAGCTGAGAACGCGTGTGTTTTAAAGCTCTGAATGGGCCATTTCGGCTCGGAGTCCAGATGCATTTTTATATCCACATGGAAAAAAAATGCAAAGGCTCAGCTGGCAGTCAAAAAGAGTTTTTTAAATCAAAGTCAAAAAAAAAAAAAAGGGAAAGAAAAAGTTTCTTGCACCTGGCCCTTCTCAGAACAGCACAGAAGAGAGAAGAAAGCATTTCTTTAATTTGACCATGTATCTAGGTTTTAAAAGTTGCATGTCTCACCCTCCTCCCTCCTGTCTTTTCAGATTCAGTTGTTTATTGAATATATACTGTACACCAGCCTCAGTGCTTGCTGGGTGTAAGTCTCATTAGACCCAGCACAGATGAGGAAACTGAGGCTCACAATGGGGCAATTGACTCACTGAAGATCACTATGTTAGTTTCCTTGGGCTGCTGTAACAAAGCAACACAGACTTGGTGGCTTTAAACAACAGAAATGTATTGTCTCACAGTTCTCAAGGCTGGAAGTTCAAAAT